AGAGAGGAAGCACATTTCTGCGTGGTACTGCGGCTGGAAATACACCTGGGAGAGGAGCAGGGGCAGGGGATGCTCTGAGAGGGGGAGCAGGAGGAGAGGGCAGGGTTGGGGCAGTGGGAGGAGGGGCCAGCACAGGAGTCCAGGGGATCTTGCCACTGAAGCTCCTTTCCTCCATCCCCCTGATTAGTTTGAGTGATTGTCTGCTCCAAAGCTCATGTTCAGTGTTAATTGCTATGGTAATGGCCTTAAGAGGTGGCACCTACAAGCAGCTGTGAGGCTGTGGGGACTGCACCTTTGTGGGTGCCACTGCTGTGGTTATTTAAGGGCAACTTTAGCCCCACTTTCTGTCTCTTGCCCTCTAGCTGGAGGGGCAGTGTGTAAGATTAAACTCCTGCTTCCTCTTGTCCCCGTGGCATGGAGCAGCAGTGACCCGACATCCCAGGCCACTCTGTCTGGAGCATCCCCGACCTTCTGGCACTAACCTTCACCCCCACATGACTGTGCAGCTCGCAGGCCCTGGAAAATCGCTGGTGCCTTGACAGTGGACTTCCCAGCGTCCAGAACTCGAGCCAGCACATTTCTATTCATTGTCAATGTCCCCGTCTCAGTCCTGCTGTTGAAGCATCACAAAGTGCACCAAGACACGTGCTTCCCTTCGTTTGGAAGTTGTCCCAGACCTGTTCGCGGCCTCGTGCGTGAATTCTGGCATCCATTCTCCCAGGCATCCATTCACCAGGCATCCTCAGCCCCTGCTGTGGCCTGGCCCTCTGGGGTCGGCCTTGTTCCCTCCCTGCCATCTGCTGGAGAAGCCACTGGACCTGCGCTGTCCCATGTTGGGGGGCACTGGCCAAGGGGGCTACTGTGCACCTGAAACGGGGCTCTGATGAGAGACCTCAGCACATGAAAAATACACCATACACTGCTCATTTCAGTGTGAGAAGAAAAAGAAACTTCACTATCTCACAAATAATGTTATGTTAATCAATGTTGAAGTAATATGTTAGCTACATTGGATTAAATTAAATATTAAAATTACTTTTACCAGTTTTTGTCGCCTTTTTAGCGTGTGGGGACTGGAAACACTTGTGCTTCACTCCTGAGTCCTGGGTGTTTCCATGGCCAGCACCGTTGTAGGTCAGGCCTGCCCAGCACACAGACGGCTCCCTCCCCAAACACACTCTGAAAAGTTTCCTGCCTGGGCGGAGGGGGCCGTAGGGATGGGTGGGACAAGGCGGGGAACTTAGTGTCCTGAGTCGGGGTGGCAGGGTGAGGAGTGAGGGTTCACCATTCTGTGATGATGCATCTTTGCCATGGAGGAATCAGGGCAGTGGCCGGGGCAGTCAAGCAGGAAGGTCTGGGCCACAGACTTAAGATATGTGGGAAGTGGAGGCCGGGCGCAGTGGCTCACACCTGTGTTCCCAGCACTTTGGGAGGCGGAGGTGAGCGGATCACCTGAGGTCAGGAGTTCAAGGCCAGCCTGGCCAACATGGTGAAATCCCGTCTCTATTAAAAATACAAAAAATTAGCTGGGCATGGTGGCAGGCACCTGTAATCCCAGCTATTCAGGCAGCTGAGGCAGGATAATCGCTTGAACCCAGGAGGCGGAAGTTGAATGAGCCAAGATTGAGCCATTGCACTCTAGCCTGGACAACAAGAGCAAAACTCTGTCTCAAAAAAAAAAAAAAAAGAAAGAAAGAAAGAAAAGAAATAAAGAAATGTGGGATGTGGCCAGGCACACTGGCTCATGCCTGTAATCCCAGAACTTTGGCAGGCCAAGGCAGGTGAATCACCTGAGATCAGGCGTTCGAGACCAGCCTGGT